TCAGCGCCAACTAATGCGAGGTCTGTGGCTGCGCTGTGACCCCCTTACGGGACCTCGCCTTACCTGCCTTAGCCGACGCGCCTTGGGATCCACCCCCACCCCCACCACATCCTCTCTTTCCCACCTCTCCCCCTCCTCTCCTTTCCCCCCTCCCTACCCCTCCTCTCTTTTACCCACCCCCTCCTTCTTTCCTTCATCATTCCCTCCCCTCCCTCTCCAGTACCGCTTCTTCTCTTACCCCTCCCCCCTCCTCCTCCTCCTTCTTCTTCTTCTTCTTCTTCTTCTTCTTCTTCTTCTTCTTCTCCTTCTCCTCCTCCTTCTTCTTCTTCTCCCCCTCCCCCTCCCCCTCCCCCTCCCCCTCCCCCTTTTCTTTCCTACTGCTTGTGGTTGCCAATTGTGAGTCCTTGGCAAAATGCATTCCCTTACTAACATGTTACGGTGCTGGAATAATCTTTTAATTTCGTTATTTCTTGTGTAGAATGTCCGGGACATTTAATTCAGCGATTGGGTTCAAAGAGCCAAGAGGATTTCCGATCTTTGTTCTGTTTGAGATTTAATATGCTATGGTGTTTACATGCACCCCCAGTGTAGCTGACCGCAGGCATGTATCTCTCTCTCTCTCTCTCTCTCTCTCTCTCTCTCTCTCTCTCTCTCTCTCTCTCTCTCTCTCTCTCTCTCTCTCTCTCTCTCTCTCTCTCTCTCGCTCCCTCTTTCCCATCATTTCTATCTCCCTTTCTGAAGTAGACCAAGTAAATGAATATACACGCAACGGTAAGCGGCATAAGCATATAGTCTCTACACGTTTAAGTTTGCTTATATTCCATTGTAAACAGACACACACACAGAGGAAAGTCTTTATAACTGGACTGTAAGAGCACCGGTCAGGAAGTGCAGGAGAACTTCTATATGAAAAGAAAATTAAAATAAAAAGCAGTAATAACATACTGCTATTATTTTCATTAGTTTCCGGGTCAAATTGCTTCATAGAAAACGGGAAGAGGCACAATAGAAAATTGGAATATGGGTTGAATCATCTGGAGTTTGTTGACTGGAAATGAAGAAACTTTACACGATTTAAATACACCTGCTGATACAATGCATGCCTATACAATATGAGCCAAAAAAGACGTTATAAAAATATTGAATGTCTGCTTGTCTCCTTGTTTCATTCTCTCTCTTTTTCTCTTTCTTTCACTCCCTCCATCCCTCCCTTTCTTTATCTCTTTTTCTCTCTGTTTCATCTCTCTCCCTCTCTCTCACCATTTCTCTTTCTCATACACACTATTATAATTTCTGCGTGCACTCAAAACTGCGTGCGTTCAAAACTGCGTGCACTCAAAACTGCGTGCACTCAAAACTGCGTGCACTCAATACTGCGTGCACTCAAAACTGCGTGCACTCAAAACTGCGTGCATTCAAAACTGCGTGCATTCAAAACTGCGTGCACTCAAAACTGCGTGCATTCAAAACTGCGTGCACTCAAAACTGCGTGCACTCAAAACTGCGTGCACTCAAAACTGCGTGCATTCAAAACTGCGTGCACTCAAAACTGCGTGCACTCAAAACTGCGTGCATTCAAAACTGCGTGCATTCAAAACTGCGTGCATTCAAGTCCCCTTGGTCGGTGAACGGCGAAGATGTGCAGACTGACTTCTCCGAACAGATAACAAATTTCCCCTCTCTCCGCATCTTCTTGTTCCCTGGTTTGGGCGGAAGGACGAGCGAGGAAAGGGGACACTGGCTCTTTATTCTCTTCTTCTCTTTTTCTTCCTCTTCTTCTTCTTCTTTTTCTTTTCATCTCTTTCTTTTGCTCCTTCTCCATTTTTTTTTCATCTTGTTTTTCTTGTCCCTCTTCTTTCTTCTTCTCCATCTTTTTTTTCTTCCTCTTTTTCTTCTTGTTCTTCGTTTTCTTTTCATCTTGTCAATTTACTCTTTTCTTCTTGTTCTCCTTCTTCTTCTACTTCTTCTTCTTCTTCTTCTTCTTCTTCTTCCTCTTCCTCATCCTCCTCATTTTCTTCCTCTTTTCCTCTTCCTCTTGTTCTTCTTTTTCTACTCTGGTTCTTGTTCGTGATCATGTTCTTGTTATTCTTCCTATTCTTCTGCTTCTTCTTTTTCATCTTTGTCTTTTTCTTCTTCTCATTCTTCTTCCTGTAGTAGCAGCGCTTGGGTCACTTCCTTTTAGATTTAAAGTCGTTGGAGAATATGATCTTTCTGTTCACGTTTTTTTTTCGTTTTTTTTGTTTTGTTTTTTATATGTCTGTGTTACTGTTCCGTTTATTGTTTTTCTCTCTCACTCTTCCTTCCTGTCTTTCTATCTATCTATTTATTTCTCTTTCTCTTGTGTCCTCTATCTCTCTGTATTCTCTCTCTCTCTCTCTCTCTCTCTCTCTCTCTCTCTCTCTCTCTCTCTCTCTCTCTCTCTCTCTCTCTCTCTCTCTCTCTCTCTCTCTCTCTCTCTCTCTCTCTAATGGGCGAGATATTACGGCTATGTTAATCTTTATGAATCTATAATAATAGTGATGACGATGGGCAATAATAATGTTAGTGATGGTGATAATGATTATGATTACAATCGTAGTAGTAGTAGTAGTAGTAATGCTAATAATAATGATAATAATAGTAAAAATAATAATAATAATGATAATGATAATGATAATAATAGTAAAAATAATAATAATAATGATAATAATAATGATAATAATAATGATATTAATAGTAAAAATAATAATAATAATGATAATAATAGTAAAAATAATAATAATAATGATAATGATAATGATAATAATAGTAAAAATAATAATAATAATGATAATAATAATGATAATAATAATGATATTAATAGTAAAAATAATAATAATAATGATAATAATAATGATGATAATTATGATAATAATAGTAAAAAAAAAAATAATAATGATAATAATAATGATAATGATAGTAAAAAAAATAATAATAATGATAATAATAATGATAATAATAGTAAAAATAATAATGATAATGATAATAATAATGATAATAATAGTAAAAATAATAATAATAATGATAATAATAGTAAAAATGATAATAATAATGATAATAATCACGCTATCATGTTATCACTTACATTTTCGTGTGGTTTACGCCTTTCTAACGCTGATGTTTCCGTTATAAGGCAAAGTAATTATCGTGCGCAGTTCACCCTTGGTTTAGCAAAATGATTGCACCGCCATTTCCCGTTAAAATGCTAATTTTTTCCCCTATCCTTATTATCGTCACTATGATGGCTCCACGACCTCCGTCAGATAATGTGACCAGACCGTGCGTGCATATAACGTATGTGTGTGTATATGTGCATACACACACACACACACACACACACACATACACACATATATATACATACATACATACATATATATATATATATATATATATATATATATATATATATATATATATATATACGTACAAATATTTGCATACATACATAAATCCACACACACAGTAATACACACATACATATATGTATAGAGAAGGAGAAATATATCTGTGTGTGTATGCGTGTATATATATATATATATATATATATATATATATATATATATATATATATATATATAAACACGTACACATACATATATATATGTATATTTACATATATGTATATATATATATATATATATATATATATATATATATATATATATATATATATACAGACATACTGTACAAGCTCCGTCTCGCCAGAATCCACAAGTATACAAGAGTTTTCCAAAAGCGATCAAAAGTTTCAAAAAGATCCGGCTGGAAAAAAGACAAATAAAGAGAAAAAATATCGTTATGAAGAACAAGTATTCTTTTAACTTTGTTTTCATTTTTACTATTGGCCGAAGTTTTGTCATTAGCTCATAAAGATTAAACACATATCATTAGATATACATATAAGTATCGTAATGGCTTAGGAGACAGATATACCGACCGACATACAGACACACAGACGACCGATGTACGTACATATATACAGACAGACATAAACATCGACAAGCAGACCGACATATATATACAGATAGACAGGCAAACAGAGGAATAAACTAATATACAGTCAAACAGACATACTGACAGATTGACAAAGAAATTCACATATACAGACAGACAAACACACACAAACAGCCAGACATACCGCATACACATATATATATACAAGCATACTTACATACGTTCATATATACATCCATACATCCATCCATCCATCCATCCATACATACATACATACATACATACATACATACATACATACATACATACATACATACACACATACTTACACACAGACCTGTTATTCCCACGCACACATCACGACGCAATGTACGCATGACTGTTGCTGGCAAGTCAAAAGGCAAAACAGCCACAGCTTGACAACTTGAGGTTTATATATGACTCGGGAATTTAAGCTGGTTTAGGTCTTAAAGGCACTTGGCTGACTTCATGTGCTGTGTGTTGCCTTTTTTTGCTATTGTTATTATTTTTTTAACCGTTGTAGGCCTGTATTTTTTGGTTTGTTTGTTTGTTACTACTGAATTGTATCCAGAGTGACTTAAAACTTTTTTTTTGTATTCTTGAAGTCCGGAACGTATTCATGTTGATAAATGTAGGAAAAAGTATGAATGAGAATTAATATTTGACCGGTTTTGAATAAATCATGTATTCCTGACGAAAATTCATTCGAAACCGGTAAAAACATCCATAATATCTTCACAATACATCTCTTGTATTGTGAATATATATATTCTCATTCATACCTTTCCTACATTCTTGAAGTTACTGTATTACGTGTAAGAATGAGTGAATTATTAATTTCAACCAGTGAAGTAATTTATCTCTGTAATTACTGTATTTTCTGCACTAAATCATACCATCATATCCTATATCGCATTCGATGTAACTCAAAACCTAGTTTCGTAACGCTTGTAACACTGAATTATTTTATGTTTTCTTTATCTTGCGGTTGTATTTTTGTAGTC